GGGGGCAGCTGGCTGGGAGCGAGCCCCCGCCCGCCCTTGGCGATTCACCTCCGCCCTCGCACCCAGGCCAACGGCTTGCCAAAGCGTCCCCCGCCTGCACGCCCGCCACCCAACAATCCCAACAAAATGACATCCGTTGCCCATGTCACTACGCAAACCCTGCCCCCACATCCCCAGCCCCTGCACCCCCCCCATACAGGCCAATGTGGTGCCCATGATGGCCATGGGGGTATCTGCACTGAAGCAGGAGCTCTCAGACAAATCATTCGTCACGGGTGGGCGCGCAGCTGCGGGCGCGCGGCCGGCGCGCACACCGCTCGCCGCGGGGCCGGCATCGACTTTCGCTGCAATGCAGGCGGGGGGCGCGCGCAAAGGCACGCACCTCGCCCGCGCTGCAACACGGCGGATGCCCCACGCACGAGCGCATAAACCCTTGTGCGGACTGTTTTTTGTGGCATGCGAGGTCACAGACTTTTATGGACGCAGCCCCACAACCACCAGTGCACTCCAGCACATTCCTGAACCTTCGACACGCGCGCACACACATACATATACACACACACACACACGCTCACGCACACACACGCAACCCCCCGCACACACAAATTGCAGAGATGCCCGAGATCCACCAGTTTCTCGACGGCTTCTACCTGTCGCGCATCGGCATCCGCATGCTGATCGGGCAGCACGTTGCGCTGCACGAGCCGCCAAAGCCGGCCCACATCGGGCTCATCTGCACAAAGTGCTCCCCCTGGCAGGTGTGGCCGGGCGACGTCACTCGTGCACGAGCAGCCGCGCGCCGGGTTTCTGGTGCCTGTGCAGCTTCGTTCCGCGGATATGGGGGGGTGGGGTTCCAAGAAGCCTGGCTGGCTGGGGGCGCCCCCCCCCTCGCCGCCCGCGCCATGCTCTTGCTGGGTAGAACGGCGAATCTCCCCACAAAGCCTGCCCTCTGGGGCCGCTGCCTTCCACCGCCCGAGCGCTACCCGGGCCGGCCCTGCCGCACCCATTCGCATGCGGATGGGGCCCTCGTACATCCCACAACCCGGCCCCCAAAAGTCGACATAGCATGACGCCTCAGCAGCAACCTGACGATCGCACCGGGTAGCCCCAAAACTGGCCGACACCCACTTGTAACATTCCTGATTTCGAATGACATTCGCCGCCAGGTGGCGCAGGACGCCATCAACGACGCCCGCAGCATCTGCATGCGCGAGTACGGGACCGCGCCGGACGTGTCCATTTACGGGGACCCATCCTTCGCGTTTGCCTACGTGCCCTCCCACCTGCACCACATGGTGTTTGAACTGGTGGGCCGACAGCCGGCGGCACGCCTGCTGCCGGCGTGCGCGTTTTGCCGCGCGTTTTGTGTGCTGGCCAGGTCCGCTCACTTTGCCACCCGGCCGCTTTGCTTGCTCTCTGCCGATCCACCTCCAAAAACGGTTGTGGCACTGCTGCCCCCGCGTGTACGCGGCCATCGGGTGTCCAGCCCTGAACTCGCTGGTGCCGACCCCCGTGGTCAAACCCCAGTCAAACCCCAGTCAAGCCCCGGTCAAACCCCGGTCAAACGCCGCCCCCAGGTGAAGAACAGCCTGAGGGCGGTGCAGGACCGGTTTGACGACGGCGATGAGGAGCCGCCCCCCATCAGGCTGGTAGTGGCTGAGGGGGGCGAGGACGTCACCATAAAGGTGGGGTGGGGGGCGCCTGCATGGCGTTGGGGCGGGAGACTTTCAGGGACGCTTTTGTGCAGGGACACAGCGACAAGGTTGCATCACGCCATCGACACGGATGGGCGGCGCAATCCCGCCTGCCGGCGGTGTGTTCAACCTGACGCGCTGCCATTGCCAGGTCAGCAGCGTGCTGCGGGCCATGATCATCAGAAGCCGGACGCCTCGCTCCCCTGATTCTGGTCGGCCCCGCCACAAAGATCCACCCCGATCACCACGTGCTTACACCACCCCGGCCCCCTCGCCCCGAAAATACACAACCGCCTGCCGCCAGGTCAGCGACGAGGGCGGGGGCATCCCGCGGTCCGGGCTGCCCCGCATCTGGTCCTATTTGTACTCCACTGCAAAGAGCCCAGTCCAGATCGATGATAACGTGGTGGAGTCGGGGGGGCCCAACGTGCTGGCCGGCTACGGCTACGGGCTGCCCATCAGGTGTGTGTATGTGTGTTGTGTTTGGTTATGTGTGCGTATGTGTGCGCGTGTGTCTACACGTTTGTTTGGGGTAAGCGTGCGCCTCTGCGCCGGGGTCTTATGTCCGTCCGGCTTCCGTGCGGACACTTGTGAGGCGGTGTGGGTCAGGGCGTGTGGTGCTGTTGCACGCGATGAATGCAGAGGAGTGCGGTGCCGTTGAGGTTCTACCTGCAGCGGAGTGGCAGAGCCCAGGATCACGGCAGCGCAGCGGTTCCAAAGGGCACAGGCGCGCCAGCCGGTGCGCGGCTTCTGGCTGCCAGCTGCGAGGGCAGGGATGGGTGATGAGCGGGCGAGCCGCCGTCGCAGCCGCGCCACGCGTGTCGGTGCTCTCCCCTCCTCCAGCACTCCTGAACACCGCCCCCCCCATTTACACACACACACACACACACCGCCCCCCTTTACACAGCCGGCTATATGCGCGGTACTTTGGTGGGGACCTCCAGATCATTTCAATGGAGGTGGGTGATCCTCCTGTCACATCAGGCTTTTGAATTCGAATTCTGACGATCTGGTGTGTCGACACCAGCCCTCTCGAAGGCGGAGCTGCCGTGCCACAACAGCAGCAGCATCATCGTCCGCAAGCAAGCCGCACTGCTGCCGGCTGCCGACTTTGCCCGCACGCTCGGCCAGCCCGGCGCGCCGTCGCGAGCGCCAGAGCGCGCCCTCAAGCGTGCCAGTCCCCGCCCGCTGAGCCGCCCGACGCCGCCGCACTCCGCCGCCCGCCTCCGCCTGCCCCTCAGGGCTATGGGACAGACGCTTACCTGCACCTCAATAGGTGTGAGGCTTTGGGAAGGGGCGCAGGACGAGATTGGGGCAATACTGAGATGCATGGGGGGCGCCTTAGAGGGGGGTTGAGATGCACGACAACCGCGCCTCGCTGCCCGGCACCGCCGCGCAGTCGTGCTGCCATACGCGCGGTGGCGCTTGTGTGCAGCGGCCCGCGGTCAGCGCAATCGTCGACCCCCCGCCTTCCTGCGCGGGCCGCGCCCCTCGGTGCGGCACCCGCCCCGTGCAAGCCTGAGCTTGGGCTCTTACCGCTCACTCTGCAACCCCCTCCTTGCGTCCCCCTCCCGCCCCCCCCCCCTTCTCCGTGCCGTCGGG